TATTTCTTGATGTGTTGGGGATGGAACACTCAGTGTATTATGTATTTCTTGATGTGTTGGGGATGGAACACTCAGTGTATTATGTATTCTTGAAGAGTCTTCTTCCGCTAAGGCCCATCCTCAGGCTGTGCCTTGGAAATTCTAGCTAGCTAAGCTTTCCAGAAGTTTGTTTGTTGGTCTCTTCAGTTAAGTAAGACTTTAGCTTGGGTTCTAACTCATTTGTTATCCAGAAAGTGTTTTCAGATAGCAAGCTGCAGTGATAAGGCTCTCCTTTCTGTATCTGTCTCTGTGTCTGTTTTGTCAGCCATAGTCCTGCACTAGCAAGTCTTGTGCCAGTTGTCCTGATATATCTGGGAGTGAAAAATCCCTCCGTGTGTTAGGTACTAGCAATTATATGCTGAAATCTCAGAATTTCCATTCCTGACATCTGCGCATATGCTGCCAAGTAAACCTGTGCCTGGGGATAACCAAGGCAGTAAGCTCTAAAGCTCAAGGAATCAGTACTAGACACTCTGCATAAGCTCTCTGTGTGGATTGCCCATAGGCACGTACATTTTCCACTGGTAACATGAAACTCACATTTTTTTCCCTTCACTGCAAGCCTGCTTATTATCTTCCTTTTGTGAGTGAAGGTGAGGTATCTAATTTTGACAGAGTGTCAGAGAACAAATTGTGTGGGAAGCTGAAGCCTAGATAAAGTGCATAGTTTTCATAATTCCTTTAAATATGACAAAGGGAAATGGAGGATACAAATAAAATTCAGGTTGTCGGTCAGGTGACCTTGACATGGAACTTTCCCTGGTTATCCTGGAAGGCTCAGTGCAATCCATAGGTGCTTTAATAACATCGGGGGAGAAATTCAGAAAAAAAGAGTACCAGAGAAAAAGCACATTGGGATTCAGCCCAATGCTTCTGGAAGAAAACAAGCTGAAAAAGAAATTGCAAAAGCCAAGGAATAAAGTTTCCTCTCCAGAAGAGATTGGCACTGCTACAATCCCTGTTAGCTCCATTTACTTACTCTGTGTTTAGGAGACCTTTTCCACTTAATTTGTTGACTTTATTCCCATGGGCTCTCATTATAACCATTGTTTATGATATTTTTCACAGCATAATGTTTGTAAAACTGTTCTAGCCTCAAATCAATTTCCTTATGTAATCAGCTAAACTGCCTGCAATTATTGGATGTACAGCAACCATTATACCCCCTCCCTTTTATTAGTCCACTGACCCTAATCAGTGCTTCATAAAAATGAAAAGGTCATTCTGCTTTATTCTCCATAGAATAGGAAATACATGTATGGCTGGGCAGAGCCTTGCAGTGAGCTTTTCTCTAGCACAGTGTATAAACATATATTTGCATGTCATACATGTAAAAGAAATGTTGAGATAAAAATTTTCAGTAATGCATAATGGGGACAAATTTTGCCCCTACTGGGTACCGACTTAGGTATGGAAAAAAAATCAATGCTGATTATTCTATAACAGTTGGTTTCCTGGCAACTGGAACTTCATAATATGGTATATTGTTCTGTAATCTCAGTGTAGGATTGACATTGCATCACAGGGCTGTCTCTCTTTTAAAACTGGACATGTCCTATGGCTTTCTCCCTCTGTTCTAAGGACTTAAATCTGTGAAATTGTCTAGCTTAGATACTGGAACAGGGAACGAAACATGCTTCTTGAGGGTAAGAGAGATTGAATTACATCACTCATTGGACATGTTTGAGACACTGAATCGCATCACTCATTGGACATGTTTGAGACATCTTGGAGTTACCAGGGAATAGACTAATTTAAAACTTTGCTGTAGTAGAGATGAACAGTTGCCATTGTAGCTACAATGAACTTGTAGCTTCAGTCCCTGTTAAGGGGGCAGAAGAAACTGGATCCTGATGCCAGTGATTGATGACAGTGACAGTAACAAGGTGGAAAACTTGACAACATGATATAAAGCAAAAGGGCCCTATCTCCCTGTAGCCTCCTCATAGCTGGCCCACAGCTAGAAAATATGCCTCTCAGTCAGCATGGATCTTCCCAGTTCAGTTCATATAACTAAGAAAATCTCTCACAGATATATCCAAAAGCTTGCCTCTTAGATGATTGTAGATCCAGTCAAATTGAAAGCAAATGTTAATATTCACAGGAATGATGTCCTCAAAGTCACAAAGCTTACAATACATTTATGACCACAAGATATCTAGCTGTGGTTCTGTATTCAGATATATCTCCCAGATATTCTGAATAATAGTATATATAGATTGTCACACCCAGCATGGCTTGGTCTTAGAAACCTGGCTGGGGTGATATAGAAATGAAGAAATGACAGATGGTGAATAAACAAGGATCCACATATGGAAAAGCTGGGATTGGGTGAGCTGTGCTTACTCTGATGGAGGACAGCTACTACTATGCTGCAAGCTGAGAGCTCATTGTTTCTTATGTGCAGCATTCAGAGAGCCTATTGTGTATAGCACAAGGAGGAGGAGCTAGCTATTGCTGATGGGAGATCTCTGTAGGGGATCAGTCTTAGGTTGCTGTTGTAGGGCTAAGAGAAGGAAGCTGACATTGCTAGTTGTTTGCACACATCATCAAACACCCCCTATATGAACAAGATGGGGACTTTGCTGATCCCCAAGGCTGGTGTGGTGAGAGCTTTGCCATTCCCATGAATCCCAAGGGTTGAGGTCCTTGACATATTTATGTCAGCAATATGTTCACTCAGTTTCACTGTTCCTCATGGTATAATTATCAGATAATTTTTAGTGAAGTTCCATATAATTTTCAAGTTAAAGCAAAGCAAAAATTAGAGAATAGCAGATCTTATTTTAATTAATCAACTAATTAATTAATTTTACAGCCCAGCTGCAGTTTCCCCTCTCTCCTCTCCTTCCAGTCCTTCCTCCTTACCTCCACACCCATCCAGTCCTCCTCTGTTTCTCTTCAGATAAGTGCAGGCCTCCCATGGATGTAAACCAGCCCTGGAATATCAACAAAATAAATTTATTCATTAAAAGTTCTCAGTGAGTCCCACTATAGTGTTAGTACAATTCTCAGTTGGTTTCATGGGTTAATCAGTCAATATGTTCATTCAGAATGTTGCATTCCATAGGAAGATATATTTAGAACAACTATGGAGCATTATAAAGAGAACAAATTCAGATTGGAAGCAAGCATGAAGCTCACAAGTGATAGACCTATCCATAGAATTTCTTTTT